CCTCGAACACAAACAATAAAACACAGCCCCTCTTACCATGGTATTATTTTAATACTATGATTAAAATACACATTCTATACAAAAATGTCCTCTGCCCTGCCATCAATTCCACATAAAACAAATAAATTAACTCTTATCATACAGGACATCCATATCAAAAATCTCAATTGCCCTAAAACCTTGAAAATAATTACAAATTAACCCGAAAATAAAAACTTTAATCTCTAACAAAAGAAACCCAAAAACAAACAACACAAACTAAAAATATACCACCATAGAACCAACTACCAGCAAAAAAAATCCCACACTACACTCTTTTCACTAGCAGTTGTTAGTGAGACACATCACAAAAATGAAACAAAACTAAAAAACAGCCCACAGAAACCAAAACACATAAAGAAAACAAATCACAAAACCCACTAGAAAAAGTCCAACCAGCTTACTAAACTTCAAACCATACAACAGACCCTGAAAGCTACTAAAAATGAAAACCATACTTCTACACTAACTCAAAGAGTAACCAGTACTGTGCTAAGTTAACTTTAAAAACCAAAGTAATAAATGATATTAAAAAAATCTAAGCCACTAGACAATAAAAAGATAAGTACCCAAATAAAAAACTACCTAAAAACTCCACAATATAAATACACAAGTTCCTAAAAAAATCCCCCACTAATAAAAAGCAACCAACAAATACATCAAACTTAAACAAAAACCCTAATAAATAAACTTACGTACAAAAAAAATTATTCCTCACTCAATAAAGCCATAAAGCCTCAAACCATCAAAATACAACCACCTAGAAATAAACACATTGCCAAAAGATAAATGTAACCATAAACAGTAACTCCCAAATTACCGGAAACAATAAAACATCCACGACAATTAAACAAACCAAATGAATAAAACATCTATAGGAGAATTAACAAGAAAGCAATTATGAATATTAAAAAAAAAACCCAAAAACTTACTTATTAACTACAGGACACTCCCTCAAACCCACAAAAACAAACACTACATACTCACACTAATAAAAGCCACCACAGCCTAATTAAAAACCAACCCTGTACCTCATGCTACGACCCATAAAAAGCATCGTAAGCCTTAAAAAAACATATCCTTTAAGAACATAACGACAATTATATTTTTATAATATAAAAATAAGTAAAAAATCCAACATATCCCACCAAAAAAAAAAAAAATCCAACAACAAACTCAATCCAACAAAACCCCTTGTCATCAGCACCTGAACCAAGAACCGTAACAACCAACAAGTAGACCACGACCCTTCTCATACACCAGCTACGAACAAAAGAAAACGATCCAATAAGCTCCTGAAAACCAACACAGCAAGGAACTCTGGAAAATGAAAACCCGCGCTCCCGGCACCGGGCGGAGCACGGCTCCCGGCAGGAAAGCGGCTCCTCGGGCAGGCACAGGCGGCGCCGCGCCGGGAGACCCCCGCCCGCTCCCCCCGGCCCGGCGGGGCCCCGGCGGCGCCCGAGCCCCGCGCCCGGAGCGGACGGAGCGGCGGCACCGGCCGGCACCGGCGCAGCGCCCGCGCCGCCTGCCCCGCCCGCCGGCCCGGCCAAAGCTCCCCTCGGCTCCGCACGGCTCGCACCGGCGCGGCTCCGGCAGTCCCGCGGCAGCCCCGCCGCGCCAAACTCCCCTCCCGCCTCGGCCATCCCCAGCCACTGCCAGCGGGGCTCCCGCGCCGGACCCTTCGCTGCCGGGCCAGGGGCAGAAGAAGCGCCCCAAATGCAGCGGCACAGCCCCATGCCCACCCTGCCAGCGCTGCCACAGCCGCGCCTCCCTTCCTTTGAAGCCCCGAAACTGAAGCCACGCTCGGGCGCTCACCCCACTTCAACAAGGGCAAAGAAATGTGGGCTCCCCTTCCATCGCATCCCCTAGAAGAGCAGAAAAGAAGGGGCTTGCCTCAAATGATGGCAAAAGGCAGAATTTTACCTCAATCCAAACCCCTTAAAAGGAGGGACAACAGGGCAGCCCCCTCCATTTCAACTTCAGGATAACGAAATTCAAAAGCGAAAGGAGAAAAGTCCCCGCTACAAAGGCACACCAGCTCACCTGTTTGGCCGCTGCTTCTCGGCACAATGGTTTGTCCCTCAGCTCCTCCTTCGAGCAATGCTCCACATCCCCAAGTGCGTATCCAGGTGATCCCCCGGACCCTGTCCGAAGCGCTCACCGTCCTTCCATGAGACAGCCCCGGGAGCCCCCCATAAACTCCTCTTCTCCAGCAGCTCCGTGCAAAAGGGATGTGAGAAAAATCCCTTAAATCAGCCCCCGGGGGAGACGCCCCCTCCTCATCATCCTCACAGCTCGCACCTGGGGCTGCTCTGAGCCCTCCTCATCCTCACAGCTTGCACCTGGGGCTACTCTGAGCCCTCCTCATCCTCACAGCTCACACCTGGGACTGCTCTGAGCCCTCCTCATCCTCACAGCTCACACCTGGGGCTGCTCTGGGCCCTCCTCATCCTCACAGCTCGCACCTGGGGCTGCTCTGAGCCCTCCTCATCCTCACAGCTCGCACCTGGGGCTGCTCTGGGCCTTCCTCATCCTCACAGCTCGCACCTGGGGCTGCTCTGAGCCCTCCTCATCCTCACAGCTCGCACCTGCCGCTGTTGCCGCCCTCCAAACAGTGTCTCTCCCTCTCCAGCACACAGCCCACTTCTCACAGACACAGATCCAACAGAAATCTGCTACGGGTGTTGGCTTTTCTTAATCCATCTGGTTACACGATTAAAGCACATACGTGCTTTGATGGTCATTGAGAGAAAGCTTTCCCCTGGAGAAAATAGTCCCGTTGGTAGCTCACTTTAACCCTAGAATTTCGTGTATAAATACAGGAAGGACAAGACCAAAACCACCTCACCTGGACAGCAGTGGTTAGTCCATAGCTAGTATGGAGAGCAGATGTCCTCGTGAGGGAAAGAGTTAAAAAATACTTTACAAATCATGTCACCATGGCTGTCCCTCCTCTTCAGAGAGGCCAAGAGCAGAGGTGCTTGCCCTCCTGCATGGCTCCTACACTGCCCATGGGTGATGGAGGCTTGCAGAGCTGCTCTTGGTGCTGCTGTGGAGACTTCTGTGCTCTCTGCTGGGTGTAAAAGTGTGCCTTCACCAGCACCCCACAAGGGATGCACACACAGACACACAGGATGTGTGTGCTGGTGAGAAGCTCCTGAAATACACAAACAAAACCTTCCCTGCGTGTGCCAACAGACTTCTTGTGCTTTCTCTGCAGGGACACACTGATTGTCACGTGTACCAACAGTGCCACCAGTATATTTGCAGGCTTTGTCATCTTCTCAGTGATTGGCTTCATGGCAAACGAGCTCAAAGTGAACATTGAAGCTGTGGCAGACCAAGGTAGGGCTCGCTGGCATCTCATTGCTTAGGCAGGCACCCCGTGGCACTCCCAGCTCTGTTATTAATGACCACAGATATATGATAGATGATCGCTCCAATGCCATTGATATTAGGAGGTGGGGATGATGATTTCAAACTGGTGTGGATCACTAAACCACGTGTAGGCATTTTTGCACAGGAAAAAGCAGCCTGGGAAGTCAAGATTTTAGTTAAAACTTGTTTGGTAAGAGAAGGAAGGAAGTTGAGACTCATTTTGAGCCTTTGTGTAAATGACTGATGGAGGGTAGGGTGGGATGGTCCCTTCATGGAGTCTAAGGGATTATTTGCCTTCTCATTGTCAAATTCTCTTCAAAGTAAAAGTTAACTCTGATGGTGGAAATTCTGGATGAGAGGAGGGTGGGAGAAATCTGGTGGGAGGGGTGGGCTGTGCTTCTGGACTGTGAGGAGCAAGGAGTGCCTCCACGGAGAATTAAAACATTCCTGAAGAACTGATCAGAACATCTTAGTCAGAGAGGAGAGGTGGTCATTAGTGGGGATTTGAAAGGTCTTAATTGGTAGAGCTGAGCACCACTATGCCAACTAAACCATAGCTCTAAGTGCCAGTCACTGCTAGAACAGCTCCAGAGATGAGGACTCCACCACCTCCCTGGGCAGCCCATTCCAATGTTTAACCACCTTCCAGTGAAAAAATTCTTCCTGATTTCCAGCCTGAGCCTCCCCTGGCACAGCTTGAACTCTGTCCTCTTGTCCTGCCCCTGTTCCCTGGGAGCAGAGCCTGACCCCACCTGGCTGCACTCTCCTGTCAGGGGCTCGTAGGAGTTTGTAGGAGTAATGTTTACATTCATATTTTTATTTTAGACTCCACCTCCATTCTGGAACAAAGCAGCCCTAAAAGTCTATAAACCACAGTGCCCTCAGCAAAACGATTAGTGAGGAGCTGGAGCTACAGGAGCCGTGCCTGGGTGGAGCTGCAGGGGAAGCTCCAGAGATGCAGAGGTGGGATGGGATGTGAGTGCCAGGCAGGGTGGAGGGCACCTCTGGCTCAGCTGGCACATCTGGCTGGAGAAGGTCAAATACCCAGCACAGGCAGTCAAAAACCCTTTTCTGCTGAGTGCTCGGTGGCCTTGGAGTGAGCAGCAGGCCAGGCTGGAGCTCTCTGTTCCCAGCTGTTCCAGCTGTCAGGGCATTTGTCAGAGCCTGCTCAGATCATGGAAAATTGTTTCATGAGGGTCAGGCTTTGCTGCTCTCCGTGACAGGGGCAAACAAAATTTAGTGAAGTAATAGAAGATGAATTTGCAATAGGAAGAGAGTGAAGATCAAGTGTAATTGCGGACTGAGTGCATTTCATAGCAGTAGTTAAAAAGCAAACTCAAGAACTCGTAAAAAAAACAGCCCTTGTCATTGCCTGATTATTATTTTTTTTTTTAATTCTAAAGTTGTATTTCTTTTTGCAGTGAAGGAGAAAAAAGCCAAAATGATGATGAAGCATAATCTCCCTTTAAGTTTTCAAAACCTTGAATGAAAATGCTAATGGAAAGGATTTTTAAATCTTTTTTTTTTCTCCTAAAATATTAATCTGTAAAACATAGTATGGGCTTTTTTGTTTGTTTTTTTTTTGTTTTGGTTTGTTTTGTTTTGTTTTGTTTTTTTCATTTAGAATTTTCTTTTCAGGAAAATCTCATTTATCTGATGAACAAATAAAACATGGAGGGAAAGACAGCACAACCTCCTTTTGTTCTACTCTCTGATTAAGAACATAGTTTGGTTGAAAAATGTTATATCTTAAAATGAAAGTTCAAGGTAATTTTACTTTTAAAGACATATAAAGTACTTGGAGTTTTCCTGGCTTTAATACACTTTTATAAAGAGTTCCTACCCACCAGATCTTGGAAGATGGAAGGAATGGGAGCTTGCCTCCCTGTGGCTATTGGCTGTGGTTGGATGCTACCAGATGTGTTATCTAGGAGAGCTGTGAGGGGCTGACACGGAGACATGTTCATATTCTATAATTTAACGTCTCCTAAAGGTGTGATTAATGGAAACTCATTATTCTGAGACCTAATTAAACTTCTGTATGCAGGCAGTGAGTTTAAACAGAGCCCTTATCTCCAATAGTCAAGAAAAAATCTTTAATCGAGAGATTAAAGAGCTGTTTGTAAATATAACAGAGGTTCTAAATGCAAAAAGTCATTTTTTTGCAGCACATTTTAAAGGAAGCAGAAATTACTGAGTCATGTACAGAGTTTTTTGTTGGTTTTTTTTTTTTTTTTACTGTGTTCTAACTCTTGTATTTGCCTTCTGTTCAGAAGGACCCCCAAGCACTGCACAGGTTTTGGAATGAAATCATCTTTAAGGTTTCTTCCAACCCAACCCACTCTATGAATTAAAAAAAAAAAAAAAAAAAAAAAAAAAAGGAGATGATTTTTATGCTGCTGAAAGTGTATTTTTCTCAGTAAGTGAGCAAGCAGCAGCTCTCCCTTGAGCACAAGCAGCTGGAGGAACTGGGGTACAATGATCTAAAGCAGAAATGGCCAGGGCAGAGCAGGCGGGGAGCCCATTCTCTTGGCATGAGGACAGCTCGGCTGGTGACATTTGTGTCTCAGCTGGCAGGAAACATCTCTGAGAGCTTGGAGTGGGCATCCCTTCGGCTCAAATGGATAAATGGAGAGGAGGTGCCCCCTGCTGCCACCACAGCCCTGCAGCCTTTGCTCCCAGGCAGATCTGAGCCCTTACAAAAATACTTTTTCTTTATGACCAATATAAATTAAAGAAATACAGAAAACAAAAACAAAACAAAACAACCCCCCAAAAAACCCCAAACAAACAAAGATGGAAAATTCCTGATTTAGGCTTTAAAAGATTCCATCTCCTTAATTTCTTGTGCTCTGCATTATTTTGGGTTTTCTTGTGGATTTTTTTAGAATCACAGTAGTCATTACCTTCTGTCTGGTATCAGCTCTGGGCATGTTTTATATTCTCTCCTCATTTAACAATGTGGCCATGAGTTGAAGAAGAGTATTTTTCATTTCCATTCATGCTGTAGCGCTGAGGTGTGGATGTTTGCCATGGGTTTCTGTTGGCAGGGATGTGGCAGGAATTTGACCACAGAGCAGGACAGAAATATTGCTGCAGTGGGCAATTTTTGCTGATTTTTCAAAAATTTGGATCAGCGTGTTTGTATACTGGCTGAATACGCATTCTGCTTGGAAAGCTGGAGTAAATAAGTGATTTGAAATTTACAGGGTAAATAGGAATTAATCAGGTAAGGCTGAACTCTGTAATGTTTAAGCCTTTGTGTAAATAGGAAAGATGGAATCTGAAAACCTTTATTTTTTCTTATTTCTAGGTCCTGGGATTGCTTTTGTGGTTTACCCAGAAGCCTTAACTAGGCTGCCCCTCTCTCCCTTCTGGGCTATAATATTCTTTTTGATGCTTCTAACTCTTGGATTAGACACGATGGTAAAGTGCTTTTGCGTCCCACTCTTGTCCTTTTGATTTTCCTATTTATCTGTTTGGAGGACCATGCAATTGATGGCCATTTCCCACGTGAGCAGCGACTCATGAAAAAAGAAATGAAGTGAGACCATCAATGCTGGAATAATTTTGGCAGAGGTTTGGTGCTGCCATCTGGGCATTTAACACCCAGGACTCCAAATACTCTGTTATAATGTTTAATATCCAGCTGGACCACTCTGTGTGCACTGAAATGAGCCCTTTTTTTTGTTTTTCAGTTTGCCACCATCGAGACCATCGTGACCTCTGTGTCAGATGAATTCCCCAAGTATCTGCGCACGCACAAGGCCCTGTTCACTCTGGGCTGCTGCGTGTCCTTCTTCATCATGGGCTTTCCTATGATCACTCAGGTAACCACACTGGCTTTGGGCACCACTGCCCGTGCCCAGCCCCTCTCTGCTGGCTGCTTTCCTCCTGCACAAGCTGCAAAATGTTCAGCTGAATTCTGCACAAGGGACGCATGCTGTGTCTGAAAGCCTTATTGAATAATAATAGTAATAATAAATTAATGGATGCTCTGAGATATTCTTAAAATACTTTGCTGTTCAAATCCTTCTGAGGATCAGGCCATTAAAATTTTCACTAGCCAAACATCTCCAAAATAGTAATATAAATTAAGTTTTCAACCCACACTGGGCAGGGTTAGATTAGACATTAGGAAGGAATTCTTCACTGTGAGGGAGGTGAGGCCCTGGCACAGGGTGACCAGAGAATTTGTGGCTGACCCATCTCTGGAAGTGTCCAAGGCCAGGCTGGACAGGGCTTGGAGCAGCCTGGGATGGTGGGAGCTGTGTCTGCCCATGGCAGTGGGGTTGGAATGAAATAACCTTTAAGGTTTCTTCCAACCCAACCCATTCCATGAATAAAGGAAAAAAAACCCCAATTTTAGATGTTATATAAATATGCACACTTGTTTTGAGTGCCTTTCCTCTGAGATTAGACATATGCTGATGGTCTTGGCAAACTGTGGGGTTAATACTGGAATTCCCATCTACTACTGATAAACCTCAGTGTCTTCTTCACTCATACCTTCAGCATTATATATAATTTCAAGATGAGATGGACAAAATCTTAGTATTTTATCCATCATTTCACCCCTCTTTTCTTTCTGTTCTTCTCCCTTACCTCATCACCTACTAGTCCAACTTTGCTGTTCTAAAGCCCAGGAAGGATTCTGTCCTTTATTCACTTGAATTATCCTGCTTAACTCCATCATAATGGATATTAAATCCTTTCCAAACAGAAGGACTGGACTCATTATTATGGAAGTTCTGCTTCCAGTGGTGATTTTGCTTTTGTCATAGTATGATATGGTTTGAGACACTGCAGGTTGAAGGTCTGATCACAGTTCAGTCCTTAATCTTAAAGGACTGAATTCAAAGACTTCCCAAGCTGTCCTGGCTAGCAGAATCAGGTGCTAAACTGGCTTTTCCTTGTTGGATTTGGTATTCACTCAGCCAGAAGGAAGAGGCTATGGCACAGCATCAGCCCGTGTCCAGCTGATGTGTGGATGCTGCCTTGGCTCCTGCTCCTCTCTGCTCTGCCTGCCTCAGTGCCACGAGTAATCTTTTATTTTCTTTCCTTAGGGTGGAATGTATATGTTGCAGCTTGTGGACACTTACGCAGCCTCTTACTCTCTTGTCCTTATTGCCATCTTCGAGCTTGTTGGAGTTTCCTATATCTACGGTAAGAAAACCCTTGTTATTGAACAGCCAGTGTCAAAGCAGCATTTCAGAAAAGGATGAAGTGAGATTCTGAAGGAAAGGAGTCATTTTTCTCTGTCATATAAGACCCAAAACACTCTTAGTTTGGACAGAAGAATGACAAGACTTCAGGATACCTTTAAATGTATATGTTCAAAAGACTTTCATGCAGCCTCAAGTCATTTTCCACCAATAGCTCAAAGATAAGAGTATGAGAATAGACCAAACATTTGCTGACACTTTTCCAGGGGTGCTTTTGTGCTTCAATGGTTTTAGGGACAGAGACTTCCTGAGCCAGTTTCCTATTTGTCCATAACATAGACTCAAGACTACGCAGCTACTCAGAATGATTAACTATCCACAGTGGTCACACCAGTGCTGCTGATCCGTGTTGATGTCCATTAAATTGTGAAGAAGACCCTCAGTTAGTAAGAAACAGTGCAATTACCACAAAGCTGCTGTAGTTACTATTGCTACCAGCTGCTGGTGTGCTCCCAGACTTGCCCAGGGTTTTCAGGATTCCTGGAAATGTGAAGATCTTCCCACGTACCATAAATAATTAATTTATGCCTGGAATGGAAGGCTATTTCTGCTATTGCTGTAGACAGGAATGAATTATATAGTTTAATCAGCTAGGCAAAAAAATCCAAGATGTTCTGCTGAAGCTGCTTGTGTAGCCACTGCCTTTGTGTTCTGGCCCTTTTCACTGAATACTTGTGGAGTCCACTCTGTAAAATAAGTGCTTTAAAACATAGTACAGGTTTCAAATCATGGCAAACTTAAAACATAATACAGGTTTCAAATCATGCAGAATTTAAAACATAGTACAGGTTTCAAATCATGCAGAATTTAAAACATAGTACAGGTTTCAAATCACGCAGAATTTGGTGCTCTTGCTTGAGAAATAAATGTCATAGACAGGACAGGGAATCAGTCCTTCCTTGTTTTCTCTGATTTCATGGAAATTCAGCATTTTAACCTCCACTGACATTCAATTCAGTGAGTATGCCTGAGAGATTGGCAGCTAAGCCAGACATGACCTAGTGAGGAAATGTTACAGAATATTATGGAAATACTAAAAATACAGAGAGAAAAGTTGATTTAGGTCAGTCATGTTTTGGTTGAACAAAATTCTTCATTTTGTTTATGTCCCTGGAATGTAAGTAATTAAATTAGATTTGGTTTAGAGGTGAAATGAAACCCAGCTTCTCTAAAATCAATACCATTTCATAGGCAGTGATGAGTGGGGAAGTTTAAAAAATTTTTAAGGGTTTACTGGGGATTTTTTTGCCTTTCTTATCCTCCCCACTTTTCTGACAGCATGCCTGAACCATGCTGTGCTAGATTTTTCACTCTTCATGGCCACCAGCATCGACAGCATCACCTGGTCTGTGCCAAATATTGCCCCCTTTAAAGCCATTGCTATTGGTATGAAAGAGAAAAATTCTGTGTTTAAAATATTTTTACTATTTTAAAACCTGCTTAAATCTGTAAAATTTCTTTGCTCTGCATGATTTTAAATGAGGATGAAGGTAAATAGGGAGCAAGAACTGGCTCTGTTCCTCCTCTGAACACTGTGTGGCAGAAGCACTGCAAACCAGCCTTTATTGGGTTTGGAAGAAAAAACTGCTCTGGCCAGTGTTTGTTTTGCCCAGCAATTCCAGTATCCCTTAAAACATTCACATTTATGAAAAACATAAAATAATGCAAAAATAATAATAAGAAGGGCCTGAATAGAGGAGAAGGTTTTTTTTAGTGAGTTATTACTTCAGTGTAATCAGATGTGGAAAAGGTTTGACAAATTACCAGTTATTCTTTTTATGCTTTCTCTACAACTGATTGTTCATCAACAGATTTTGGTAAAACCTTGACTACAATCTATTTCAAAGGCATTAACCCTTTGCTAGACTAAAGGGCTTCCTTTCAGGTAAATAAAAGGGAAAGACTTACATTAAGACCATTACCTGGCTGACTGATGTGCCAGAGCTACTTTTACTGTGCTAAATCTGCTTTTGTAAGGACTGGGCACAGAAATACATCGTGTGCATTTGTGATTTGTGTGTGGTGAATGCAACCAAAGCTGCTGCTTGGGTTATATTCCTTCAGGCAGTGCTTAAAATTGGCATAATATATTTTCAAGGTCTGACAACTGCTGTTTTACACTCCACTGACACCTTCCTCTGTGCACTTGTACTCTTCATGGCAAGCAGGCTGGCACAACAGTGGCAGATGCTTTTATGATGAAATAAATTTGTCTTTAGTTCTTGTTACATGTTCTGCTCACTGAGCTTGCTGAGATTTTTAAATTACAAAGAGACACACGTGGTTATTTCCTTGTAATCTCTTATTTTTCAGTAGAGCTAGTGCTTCACAATCCAGTCAAATGCACGTTTTTATTTCACATGCTGGTTTAGACGTTTATTCTCCAATTGTTTGGATTATGATGAATGATTAGTAAAGAACAGCTTAGAGGTGGGGATATTAATTTAATCACCAGCATAATTCCCACTGTTGCACTTTGTAGCATGAAGCTAAAGACAGAAATCCCTGTGTTTGAGTGAAACGCTGCTGGAAACTGAAAATACATGATGGGAGCTTTGTTTATGCTCCTGTTTCTGACAGGTTTTTTTTTGGGAAGGTTTGTTGTCAGAGTGAGTGGAAACTGCTGCTGTGTATTTGTAGAAAACTTTAGTAATTTTGAACATTTCACCTGTAGCAGAATAGTGGATTAGTTATCTGGCTAGGTTTGCAGTCTCTTTTAAAGCGGATTTTATGTCAGCACTTATGAATACATCATTCTATTTTAGAGACAGAAAAATCAGATATGGAATAGCATGTGTTGTTTATTTCCCAATGTTATTCAGCAGGCCTGACTGATCTGAGAGGGAGACCAGATTTACTAAGACCTGGGAAAAGAAATTGGGGTTCTGTTAACTAAAATATCCTTTGCATTTTTTTCTGTTGAACTTCCACTGGAAAGAAATAAGTAATGTGTAATCCCTCTGCCTGTTATATACATTTGATTCTTGAATTGGTAATATTTAAGAGTGCCTGACACTGTGGATATCTACTGGAAATTCCTAAAAGGAATTTCTTATTTTATTTTTTAAATTGGAGTTTCAAAAAAATCTGTGCAGGTTTTCATGAAGCTAGCATGAATTGTGGAGGCAGAACCCCCCGGTAATTATCCAGTTAGGTATCCATTCTTTGCAGCAGCAAGTGTGGCTGAAGTAGACACTTTAAATGAGATTTAAACTCTGTGGAAATACCCATCAGCCTGCACCCTGTGCTGCTGCAGTTAGTTTAGACCAGCTTTGATCCCAGCACAGCCCAGTGTGAGCAGCTCCCTCACCCTCACTGCAGGTGCTGCACAGCTAAATAAAACACAGGGACAAATATTTCCATTGCAGCCATAATCTCCTTTCAGCTCCATCACACAAAGACCTTGGAGGTTACATTTTGCCCAGACATACAAACTTCTATTACAGAGTAGAGAAGGACCCAATTAGAGTGGAGCTGAAGCACAACGATTCCATGGGTCATAAAAATTCCATGGATTTTACACAGAAGGGGCTTTCTGAAGAAAAAAACTTGCAGTAGTCAGTAAAACAGAAGAAGAGGGAAAGAAATTACAGGAGGAAAAAAGTGACCTCTGAGTTACCTTGGCTCAGTTTTCTGAGATTACATCCACTGCAGATTTTAATTTTTTTCCCTTTCCTTAAGTACAGTCCTTGTAGTACCATTTTCCTGTTTGATTTCTGTATTTTATTTCTCTGTCCCTTATACCATGGTTCTTTAGCTTTTCCATCACTCATCCCTGCTGATTTCTTCTGCATCAGAGGGCTCTGGATGATGGACCAATGCTAGTGTTTGTTTTACCTTCTTAATTCTTACAACAGTCAGGTGGATAGATTTATTTCTCCTTGATATCAACAGAAAGGCTTCCAAACTAGGTGGATCAAGCCTGAGATTATCCCTTCTTACACTCAGCAGCTGCAGCAGCTGGCTTTTACACAAGAAGAAATAAAGTAATTTATTACTTTTGTTACAAGCATTTCTTCCCTTACTCAACGCCTTTTCTATTATTAAGCTATTAAGTTATTTCTATTATTAAGTTATTAAGTATTTAAGCTTTCCCCACACCATGCAAGTTAGACAAAACGCTGCAGAATAATGCTCTGCAAAATTCAAGTAAAATTGGCCCAAATTTTTAACATTTATGTTCTAGATGAGCTCTGACCTCTCTCTTCTTATTGCAATTGGGAAAGCTGGAACCAATTTTAGGTGTCTTTTTAAAAGTTTTGGGTAAATTACTAATAATGAAATTGTTAATGACTAACTTACTAATAACCACCTGGGAACAGCAGCTGCTGACCAACACATGTTGACCTTTTGCTGTCACATGGCATGGCCAGGGAGGAGCTGCAGAGTCGCTGAAATACCATTTTCCAATCTTGCATGTTTTGTTAACTCACCTTATGAAGAACTAACATATCAGCTGATCTTTTTGTTCAGACAACGTCGAATATAATTACAGATATTTGCAGATGCTCTCTAGGAATTTTAAATATCAGTGCTGAGGGGTACAGCTGTAATCCTGTCATGTAGCAGGTATAGAGAAGCTGAAATATTGCCTGTACTGAAGCAGATACACCAATATTAATAAAGCTGATCTTCACAGGGGAATAAAACAAACAGACAAATATTTGCAGCTACCTAGTACACGTAGAGTAATGCTTTAACACAAAACAGACTAAACACCTAATCCCAATGTAAAAGATCAATTGCTTTAATCCTTAGAAAGGAAATATTTTGTTGGAATGGTTCCCACCCTATTAGTCCCATTTATTATTCTGTAGTTAGATCATCCAAGGAAGCTTTCAAACAAAAATTTGGAGTTTGTTTTCATCGTTAGACACAAAGGAGGGCACCAGAGCTCTGTTGCAGACTGCAGTTGGTTTTTTCACACCTAACTGCTCTTCCATTTGCTCTTTACAGGATTGCAAAGATTTTGTGAAGATATAGAAATGATGATTGGATTCCAGCCAAGTAAATTCTGGAGAGTCTGCTGGGCATTTGTGACCCCAACTATTTTAACAGTAAGGAAAAAAAAAATTAACATCTTCTCCAAAGAGTTTTGTCGTTGCTTGTTCATTATTCATTATTAATGATGTTTCTGGGTGTTGGTAGCTAGAACTTGGATGACAGCATGTGTATTCTTGCCATGTGTATGTAGTAGAAACAGTGTAAGCAGTAGTGGTTTTGGTGAAGAGGCATGGTGAGTCCGCCTGGAAAATGGGTGGCCTTTTCCTGGCCGTGCAAAATGCTGCTGTGGCACACCACTGTATTTATATACAATAGATTACTGTATGTAAATGTATATATATTTGTGTGTGTGTGATATTTATGGATGCACAGGGAGAAGGCAAGATCCTCTTGTGTGCTGTCAGACTGAGCTAGGGAAAAAAAAAACAAAAACCATTTTATTGACACAGAAGCTGGTGTGAGAGGGATGCTTTGGAAAGGCTGGGGTGGAAGAAAGAAGAGGAGGAGCGGGACTGTCCCGTGCCAGGACCCGGGCCCGGGAGGTGGCGCTGCGAGACAGCGGCTGCAGCCCTGGAACCCAAAACCAGAGCGAGTTTGGGCTGTTCTTGCTATCCTTCCTATTTTCCTTTCATCCGTATTTCCTCCCCAGCACCTTCCTTCAGATTCAGTCAGCGTTTGCTTCATGTTCAGGTCTCCATTTCATAAAAAAAAAAAAGTCACGTTCTCAATTTTACCATTACTATGAGAGTTTCTTCAAGTCCAGGGGACCAAATCCAATAACTGTATCTACATTTGCCATCTAGGTTTCTAACACAGTGCGTCCTTTACGTCTTAACCTATGTGCAGATACAATCTGCAATCACTTTTTTTTTTTTTTTTGACACAAGAATGAAATAATTATTTCAGCATTTCAAAATCTTTCAGCTTGACAAATCAGCACAAAAAACCCCGGAGTCTTCTTTCACCAGTATCTTCTGTTTGAGTGCACGTGCATCCACTTGCAAGTTCTCAAGCCTGAATCCCAGGTGCAGCAAGATTCTATATCCGTGCAGAGTTTTAAATACTGATAATTTCACAGGAATTACATAGTTCCTACAAGCCCCACAATCAATCACAGCATGGTTGGGATGGAAAGGGATCTCAAAGCTCATCTCCCTCCACGCCCCTGCCATGGGCAGGGACACCTTCCAGTGTCCCAGGTTTTTCAGGACACTTTCCAGCCTGGCCTTGGGCACTGCCAGGGATGGGGCAGCCACAGCTGCTCTGGGTGAGCGCTCTTAGCTGTTCAGATACGAGATAAGACAAGTTTCTGGAATTTCTGAAAAGACAGATTTTGGAACAGTGTGAGATCAGCTGGCAGGAGGAGAAGCAAAGCAGCGACTCTCTAGTCCTTTGCCCCTTCCAGAGAAGGGCACGTGCTGGGCAGTCCCTGTGTGTGCAGTTCTTTAGTGCAGTGTAAGCTTGGCAAATCTTCTTCTTCCTGGAGGAGGAAGAAAAAAGCACTGGCTGAAGTTAACAACTTTTTTTCAGTATTGTTAATTCACAGAGGACATTTTTTTCCTGCAAACTGGAGAAGGTTTAGTTTTCACAGACACCAATGCCTATGTGAGGGGACCAGTGAGTTTTGGTGAGCTCAACAAAATCCTGAGTTGTGAAGAAATGAAATTTTCTACAGCAAGAATAATTTTTCCAATGGGTAAAATGAAAGTAGTCTACTTTCTTGCATAGATTTTCTTTACCTGCTGTCTTCACTGCACTGCAGTATTGCTCTGTGTGAAAACCAGCTATCTCTATCTTAACCACCTGTTATTTGATTGGGACAATGTATGCCTATAGTTTGCAGATCACTTTTAAAAGGTTTTGAAGACTTATTCCAGTTTATAGCGTTAGGATTACACCAATGGTGTTTATCTTCTCTTGGGGATCTTTTTAAAGATGAAGGAATGTGCACATGGGATTTTTTTAGCTCTTTGGTTTTTTCCAGTGGTTATTTTCAAGATGCTGCCTTAGACTCTATTTTGCACTTCTGAAGGGAATTGTAAGGTTTTTCTGCAAATTGCTCGGATCTTTTACTAATCAGACTTGTGCTCATAGCTCCTGTCAGTAATCACAACCAGGAAATAGGAAATTATGTTGTTTGTTAAGGAAAACAAATTTGAACTGACCGTGTTTACTCTCTAAACTTGCATGTTCTGTTGTTATTCCCTCCAAATGCAATATTTAGTGAACTTACAGTGAGAAATAAATTGACACTGATCAGTCATAATTCAATTTTTATGCAATGGAAACAGTCAAAGCAAAACCAAGCAATTAATTATTTTCTATTATTGCCTCTGTAAAGCTAATATTTGATACATTTGGATAGCCTAATATTAGACTTTCATTAGACTCCACATCTCTGGAACTAAAGCTGATCATTTTTATATGTGCCTTCACCTAGTTATACTTTTATAAATCTTCTGTGTGCAGTTATTGCAAGCACAGGCATTTTCCAAAAGGTACTGAATTATGCACAAATGTAAGCAGATATATTGCTGTTCATACAGTAAGTGCAACGGAGAACTTACCATAATCACATTAGGTAAAACTCCCAATAGACCACGCAATAAAGCGTGTTACTCTAGGGGCAAGATTCTAATTTCAATTATTCTGGCACAAATGTAGTGATTTTTGAGGGATTTTGCAAGATTTCCTTGAAACTCATTAGATTCAGGCTCTGACCCATTTATTAGAGCTTGTGGCAGCACCCTGCCTTAGGTGTGTGTGCTTTTATCTGTATTCCATATACACCAACTCTGTGTGTGGGTACCCAGGGTTTGTGGCATAGCAGGCTTGTTTTGCTTACTCAAACATATTTGTTTTCCTTTCTTGTTCCCAGTTTATTCTCTGCTTCAGTTTTTACCAGTGGGAGCCCATGACTTACGGAGCTTACCACTACCCAGGCTGGTCCATGGTGCTCGGGTGGCTGATGCTGGCCTGCTCAGTCATCTGGATCCCAGTTATGTTTGTGATAAAAATGCACCTAGCCCCAGGAAAATTTATTGAGGTAATCCTTCTGTCTTTTTGCTGTTTAAAAATATGGCCACAGGGGGCTGTATCTTTCATTTTACATTGATTTTTGTGATATTGAATGCTTAATACTGCTCAGATTGCTTCCTGGTAAACCAGTTATTGTGTTGCAAAGAGATGCTCAGTTTATTTAAATTGTAGACCTTCTATTCCTAGATTTTCAAAAAGCATGGTCCCGAGTTGTGGAGCTGTTTGTTTTATGAGATCTAGATAAATTTCATGAGGTTTTGCATGGCTTTATTGGAAGAAAGGTGTTCTAGATTCGTTGAGCTTTTTGCAAAAGCAGCACGTGGCCCCAGGAAGCCTCAGCCCCTGGTGAGTGCCGTGCCCACAATCAGCACCAGGAGAGCTCAGGCAGGAGCTGCAGGCAGCACTGGGAGAGCTCAGGAGCTGCCTGTGTGCCCAGCTGGGTGCTGGGCTCATCCAGGATTGCTCCACGGGGCTGTGCCACTCGCTGGAGTCCAGGAATGAGATGTAGAGCAGGAAGGCTTTTCATGCATCTCAAGCTACTGCTTATAAAACCCAGCTGGCAATCTTTGCTTTCACCTTTCATCTCTTTATTCCTCTTGAATTAACTGATCCTTTCTGGCTCCTGGGCTTACAATAATTCCAAGAGACAGTTTATTTTTAATTTAAGGTTCTTTTGTTTATTTTGCTAATTGGATTCCTGACGCTTTCCCCCGCTGCTTCAGAAATGTGGTGGCCACCTACTTCTCTCCATCCCTGAGTCCTGTCCCTGCCTGTCACCTCCCTCTCCCTGGCTGTTCCCATCCTGCTGGCTCCTCGGTCCCTGGCAGGATGAGCAATGTCAGCATTCCCTCCCTTCCTTGCTGTTTTCTGGAGAAGATCAGTGCTCTTACTTTAGGTCTCTGAGGCTTTCTCAGTTCTGCCTTCTCATCACTGCCTGCTGCCTGTGCTGCTCCCACCTTGGGAGAAGGACCAGACACTCGCTCCCCTTTCTGTAGCTGCTTTTACAGTTCAGCTTCCCTGCAATCCCACCGGGGCTGTTTCTTGCTTCAAAAAAAAAAAAATGAAAAGGAGAGAAAACGTACTAAAATAGCATAATCTTTTTGGTCTCTCAATATGTCACACTACACACGCCTGAGGGAAGAGGCTCTGCTTCTCTGCTACCCATAGAGCAAAGGAATTTTGTAGGAGAGGAATTTTCACAGTGGGACACCCTAGGGAGAGCATCCGAGCAGGAGACAACAAGGCCACTTGTCTAAAGGATCACTCAGCTCCTGTGTGGAGCAGACTGCAGTGCCTGGTAGGAGACAGCTGCCCCCGCTGGAAATGACCTAATGTGGAATTAGATTTACTCCTTCCTTGCCTCATAAGCTCCTCTCACTGACACAAATGGTTCTGCTTCGAAACTTCTCATGTCTAAAACTGGCACAAAAATAGGGTGTTTCCCTTACTGTGTGTCCAGGTGTGCACCCAAAGAAACACCCAAGAGCTGGATCTGTTTTCAAAGGGCTTTTGCTCAAGATGTTTCAGCTGTAGTCTGGTATTTCCTCAATATTGAGTCTACTGCATAGAATTATTACGGTTGGTTTGGGAGGTAAAAGTTGCAAACTAGTAATTAAGCAGAGACTAAAATAACGGATATAGAGGTCTGATTCACTTTATTAGGTAATAAACATATAATTGCTCCCTCTCAAGTCATCAAAAATATGTTTTCTTTCCTTTTTATCTGTGCATGCACCAATCAAATTATATATTCAATAAAGAACTCAGTGGAAAGATCAGAAAATTTCTGTTGTTTGCCAGGTTGACATTCTCCTCTTTCTTTTTTCCTGCAGATAAAAACAACATTTTGTCATCTCAAAATTAAAATCTTTCATAGTGATATACTACTTCTGGTAATTTGTATACTTTAGGGAAATATGCTAACTATAAATCCAATTATTCTAATGCACTTACTCACTGCTTAGACCATTGGGCTAAGTAATTGTGCACATGTCCTTCAGTAAGAGAGCCTCACAGTCTGTAGCAGTGGTTCTGAGCTCCCCTCACAGGTTGTGGGGGAGAATGTATAATTAAAAACCGGGCACTTGATCCCCTATTAATCTTGAGAACTTTGTGCAAAACAAACGCTGAGCAGTAGAGCACTGCCAGGCTGTCATCAATAACCCTGAATGAGTTTGTCCTGCTTGCTCTGGTTGTGGCTGTGCCCCATGGCAGCGCTGAGACTCTCTTTTCTCTCCCCACGCAGCGGCTGAAGCTGGTGTGCTCCCCCCAGCCCGACTGGGGCCCGTTCCTGGCCAAGCACCGCGGCGAACGGTACAGGAACATGATTGACCCGCTGGGAACCTCCTCCCTGGGACTGAAACTGCCCCCCAAGGACATGGAGCTGGGCACCCAGTGCTAATAATCATTACAAAAGGGTGGCAATAACATTGTCCACCTTTTCTGGTTCTTTTCCCCCTTTTTTTTTTTTTTCACCCACCACTTCTTCTTTTCTTTCCCGCGGTGCCTGAAAGTGGCAGCTTAGGAAAGAGGATTTATTGTTGCATGCCACAGGGGAGGCCTGACTAGGCCGCTTCCAGGTGTAGGTGATGCCTGTGCCGTGTTCTGTACCTGGTGCCACAGCAAAACTGTGGGACAGGTGACGTGACCAGGCGTTGTCAGGCGATGTAGGAATGAACAAAACCAAACTGAAAAATCTTTAGATGAAATGACCCACTTAGTTTGACCCACTTCCCACAAGCACCCTTTGTAACAGGCAGCTCTGGTGGGACTAGGATTTTGCTACCAGTGTGTTCCAAGAAAAGTGTGATGGAAGTGAGCAAAGAATGGGATCTCCTGTAGTCCTGATATAAATCCAGCATAAGGCTCCTGTAGCTTCTTCTACACTGACAGCCAACCTTGACCCATCATGTCTGCACACTTCCTTTACAATTTGTACTAACTTGGAGGGATTGTTATGTTATTTAAACGTGAGGAGACCCTTGGGACAGCTCACCAGGAAGCAATATATGGGGTGACAACAGAAACAACGATAATCCACTAGTAAAAAAATAAGAACAAAGTTTTTTAAAATGATCAACTGAGAGGCTAAACTGCATTTGAGTCTAGAAGTGGTTTGGAAATGGTGTCAGAATGAGCTGTATAGGCATCACTGTTTAAAATCCTGCCATATGTTTTTTTGATAATTTGATTTCTGTCATTTCAACTAGGAATGCCTCAGTTATACAAAGTATCTGCCAACCTGCTCCACACCAAGTGCGCCTGTGGTTTTACTCACCTTGCTCTAATACTCTGAATATATTTTTCCTTGTTTCTCTGCTTTTGTTTACAGTATCTCCTCAAAAAGCCATCATATAATTTGTGCCTAACTTTGTATTCCTACAGTGGTAAGTGTAGTCTAGTTACCACCTGAAAACAGTTATTGGATGTGCTGTTCAACTCGTGACTCCCCGTTCATTTGCCTATAAGCACCTTTATATAACCTATAACCTTTAGATGGTGTATTCTTCTCTTTCAACCAATGGGGAAATAGCAGGACCCCACTTGTCTACATCTTATATATATAGCACGTAAATTCTTCAAAGCAGTATTCTCTCTGAAACATGCATTGGGTATTTTTTTCATTAAAACATTTTCATTAAATAAAAATACCCAAATCCACAAAAATTAACCACTGCAGTCATCCGCACAGATGCAACATTAGACATAGAAAATGCAAAGGTTGGGGTGAAAGGACAATTTAGTAGAGGGCCATCATAGCATTGCATAGCAGTAGGGCATCCTAAATCATTACATTGTAGAAATCAGATATATGCAATCATATGAATAGTAGACTTAAATAGTTTTGTTACCTATTGGACAGAGTAAAAAATAGAGCTTTTAAAGAGTACATTTATTTACCTAAATAGAAAATTAGCCCAACTTATTGTAAATGCACTAGAATGAGGGAGAAAAATATCTCTTCAATAATTGGAAAAACTTATACTTTATTATCTTCTTATATCCTATACATACATATATGATTTTTTTAATGGTGATCAGTGTTCATGTAGTGTGTGCTAGTGATGTTTTATGTCCCTATAAATATCTTACCAATCAGTGTAGAAATAATGAGCTTAGTAGTTTAGCCAGTTTTTTCCTCCCCACAGACACTGCTGTAGTAGCCTGTAAATGTTCTTTCCTTTCAGGGGACTGTTTCTATCCCGTTTTTTGTCTGTCTGTCTTCATATTACAGGGTCTCAGGTAAATCCTCAGTTCATGTGTGTCCGTAGATCAGTAGGTGTGTTGTTTTCATCCTGTTGAAGAAAACAAAAAGCTAAACCCTAAAGTACCACTTCCACAAGTTGTTAACTCCTTTTCTCTGTGTGTGTGTATATATATATGTATATGAAATACAGTAATCATTTTGCTGAACTTCCTCTTTGACGGGGCAATTAGTGTTGCCAGTTCTAGGCACTGCTGGAGATCTTTAATCCTCACACAGAACAAGTGAAGCACTAGCAGGGGCTGTCATGCAGGCCCGGGAGGGCAGGTTCTGCAGTATTTCACACTGGCCCCTGCATCTCCACTCCGTGGGCTCTTGTTGGTCCCTGTCTCACACAGCAGCAGGACAGGACCCCCCCGTGAGCTTCTCTGCCTTAAAGCTGTTCCTCTTGCTTCAGCTTTGCCTGCTATTTTAATAAAAGTCCTGCTATTTTTACTTCTGGCTTTTAGTTTCCTGACAGAGGCAGGTTTGAGAAGCTGTGCTCTGTTTGGCCTCATAAAGATCCACAGGGATGAGCTGGAAATTTGGTTTCCACATCTGGGTGGGGCTGAGGGACCTTCCCTGGGTGCAGAAGGGAACCTAAGTCAGCATCTGTCTTGGGAATTACGTGTTTCTGTTGGATAAATCACTCTTAACCAATATTCCCTTGCATTTTGGTTTGATTTTTGGAATCCAAGCCAGTTTGCCTTTGGTACTACTGTCATTTAAAAACATCATCTCTCTGTAGGTTTGGTCCTCTTTGCAAAAGAGAAAACACAGTCGAATGGTGTGAGAGCACTGAATCCTTTCCCTGACTGGCTTGTCCCAGGGCATGCCTTGGAACTGGGATTGCACATTAAATCCAGAGTTCCCTCGGTGTAAGGCTGTGAGCTGCTGCCTACCTGAATTATGAAACAGAGATCATTTAAAGGAATGCTGCTGGGATAGGATATCTTTTGGCTTGGATTACCAAACCAGACTGCATATGAAATTGCAGCTGAATTGCTTTCCATGATTTAAGCAATTAATCTGCTTGCTTTTAATTTAGATGTTGTTCCTGTGCCTGCTAAGTCATTAGCACAGGATTAGGCTTGAATTTGAAACTCTGTAAACAGATGATTGTGCTTTTTTTTGCTAGCTGATCTTTGTCTTCAGCTTTGACCCCATTGCTAGGCTTGCAAAAAACTTTGGAAAAGGGGAGAAATGCATAGAAAAATCACAGAAGATGTGAAGTTTTCACTATATGTGCAAGGCAGGGTTTTATTTTGGTCACATGAGACTTTTTCTAAATTATTTCACTGTCCAAATCTGAAAGTTGAGATTAAATTAACCAGGAGTGTCTTCTTTAAATGAGAAGTTACCTTGAAGTTTGGGAATGCACTTCATTTACCATGTTCTAATGAAAGTTTGCATGTACTTTGATAATTTTCTAAAAATAAATTTAGTAACTAATAGCATAACAGTAAAGATCTTTAAAAGAAAAAAAAAGGAGGGGAAAAAGCCATATTAGTAAAAATGTGATGTATGTACTTTCAGATCTATCTTGTGAGTAAAAAATGTTTAAATTTGGTGAAACTATGACACATACTTTTTCTTTGAAATTAAATTGAATTTCTGGATGAGCTGAGATGCATTATTGTATGCATTAAAGATTATACCTAGTGCAAATGCTTGCCATCTTCAAATTCTTTGGGGTCTTCCCAGTGTTTTTAAATATGCAATGTTCAAAACCTGTGTTTCAGCTAGACAAGGCAGCACTTTGTTTCCAAAGGAAGGGTTTAACAAAATGACCTTTAATTGAGAAAGACTTGGATTGTCTTTATATGATGTTTCAATTGAGTCCAAGTAGTCTTTTGGTTCATTTCTGCTCCAATGACCACATTAGTTGTGCCTCCACGCTGAAGATCGTTGCTTCTGATACACTGTGTGACTATCTCTTACCATCAAATTCCAACCCCCGATTGATTTTAAATACCTCTGGTCTTTTTATTGTGTACGGTTATTTGGATAATATGATTTCTTTTTGCCTGTGTTAAAGAAATGTTTATGTACAGCAGTCATTGTTCTCCTGTTGGTTTCTTGTTCTGCAGCTCCACTTCTTCTTGCAATCAAGGGCAGACTTGTAGGGGCTGTGGGCTGCAGGCAGCAGAGCTTTTTGACCAGAGGTGCCCCAGAAAGCTTCTGCTGCTGTAAGAGACACTTGTTTCTTGGTTTGCACTTAGGTGGTGTGCACATAAGGTACCTGGAAATGGTCAGAGCTTGATATTCAGGTGGGTGACTTGAGGCAGGAGGAGAGAGGCATTGGGCTTTCAGCCTATCACCAAAGAGAGAAGGTTTTCCTGAGGGGTTTATCATAATGTGAGAACTAGGTTGGATCTTAATGCTTGCAATATTTTATTTGCCCATAGCATTTAAATACATCTTCAGGTAACCATTTGCCTTATAGCTATCTTCCATTTATAGTAAAATTGACTAAAACATGTTGTTATCTGTCCTTTATATTATGTGGTATTACCTTGTAAGGTAGATACTTGGCTGGTATAAATTGTTAGAGCTTTGTCTGGAGCTGTGACAATTTACACCAGCTGAGAATTTGCTCCCTGTGTCCTATGGCACTTTATTACGGACCCATCACTGATGGGTTAAATCTTAATTACTTGCGTAATGTCATATATAAATATATATATATATATTTACAGGCATTCTATGGGGTACTGCTGCCTATGGATAAAGATTTGCACCGTAACTGATCACTACATTTTCTTCATTCGCTGTATGTAAAAAAGATATATTGTTACAAAGAATGCATCGTATGTATCTCATGTAGTACATATTATGTTGCTGTATGTTTTTAATTTCACAAATCATTATTCTTGAGGCCCTACCTCAAATTTTGTATTTATGTGTACAAATGCAATTTATTGTATTATATATTTGCCTAATATATTTGAATGTGATAAATTAAAATTATTCAATAATGTATGGGCTCTAAAGATTCTAAATAAATGTCCAGTGTTTAAAACAGAAATGACATCAACTTCCCTGGTGAATGAAATGTCTCTTTTCCCACCACCTCCTTCCCCACCCGACACACACCACAGACATCATTCTTGCTTAACACACAGACTTCAGGTGTCTTCAGAATTGATCCATTTGATTGTTAGAAACCTGGAGCAGCAGCTGGAAGCAGCCCTCCTGGGAAACAGGGATGCTGCACAGCTGTAGAAACAAGGATCATTTAAATGGCTGCTTTCTTAACTATTGAGTGTTCTGTACCTTGTGGAACAATTGATTGCTTAACAGAAGACCAACTGGATTTGTTTAAATCCTTCTTATCCTATCAATTGAATTATCCCTAAGGTTGTTAAACTGTTAGGAAAAAAGAGAGGTTCATATCTGCTGGAGATGAAAAAGGGAGGCTGAAAGGCGGAGCACATGAAGAAGGAAAGTGTAAGGGACAAGTTCGGGTGTTATTGTACTGCGTGTTTCAAGTCCTGCCGTGTGGTAAGGCCATGTGCCCCAACACGGATTTGGAAAGCAGGTTTTTCCTTTCCCAGCCTGCTGTGGAAATGGTGCTGGTCCAACCTGTTTCACTGTTGGCAGACAGGAGCTTTTGAGAAACTTTCCCCAAATACAGCAGCTGAAGAACCATGTCCCGATGTGTCACCAAAAGTGGCATCACAAGAGGTACTCGTGCCAAGAGCATGATTCCCTTCAGGCTCTGGAGGGCCTGAACCTGAAGATTGCTCTGTAGCTGAGTGAGTGGCAGGATGTTTCACTTTGTTCTGTCTTTAAGCTCCCGTTTCTCTGAAATGTGCCAAGGAGGCGGTAGGACTTTGCACATTACCTGCGCAGGCGGATTTCATTCTGGGGAAGTCTGAAGTTACCAGCGAGCATCGTGAGAGTCCTGAGAGAAAGCTGAGTGCCATTAATGCCCTTTTCAGGAGGAAAAACTGAGGCATGTGCAATGTGTCCAACTCCCAGAGTCACCAAGTGTAAGTCAGTGACACAACACATTGATTTTGGGAGTAAGAGACGGTCATTTGCTGTCACCACTAGGCATCTACTGCATCAAATCTTTAAGCTCATGGGAACAGATAAAAATCCATGTCCTTTTAACTTGGTTGTAGGGACTGACTACGGCTACAGTTTAAACCAATGCATGTTACTTAACAGCTGGAAGATATGGCACATGTTCTCCTACACTGCTTACAGATGCGTTTAGTCTGAAATAATTTTACTCTTTTGGTGCTGAAATTCCTACAGTCAGTGAGGAGGCTGAAGGGCACATCTCATACCAAAGCGAATAATCAGTTGTAAAGTTTAGTTTAGATTTTCAGTCTTCAAACATAAGCTAACTATATGTTTGGGAATTTACAATAATTAAAAAAGAGCAGTAAGTATTGCTCCATGACTGGGCACAGAAGAAGACAAATGATTTTTCTTCTTAAGGCTTCACTCTGATGGATTTGCTAGTAACTTATGTAATTGTAAACCCTAAAGTGGGTACTTTTAGCCTGCTGAACTGATTATATAGTCCTTTACGAGTATTTGTCAGTGGGTAAAGCAAGCAGGGCATATAGAAATCCCCCCTTCCTTTCCACCTGCTCTTTTTCACACTAGTCAGGTGGAAGTGCTGCTGCTAATTCTTGCCCTCTACTGGCAGCAGAACAAGCTTTGCTCCTGTGGATCGCAGAGTCACCGTGCAGCCAGGCTCCCCAGGGACGTCAGGCTACTTTGTGAATCGAGGAGGTTTTCTACTCCACGAGCTACAAGTGGTGGGCTCTGTTTTTCTCTTTTTTCTTTTTTCCTCCCCTCCCCTCCCCTCCCCTCCCCTCCCCTCCCCTCCCCTCCCCTCCCCTCCCCTCCCCTCCTCTCCTCTCCTCTCCTCTCCTCTCCCTTTTCTCTCTTCTCCCTTTTCTCTCTTTTTATTTTATTTTTCACCCAGGCATAAGCACTGCTGTTTCCCAGAGTTTGCAGTGCAGCTGGCAACTGAGTCCACCCATACTGAGAACACCCTTGCAGTAGCAGAGCTTTTAATTGCATTTTAGCTGTGGCACACAGGCAGCCCTACAGCTGTTCAGAGAGACATTTGGCCTACTCAAAAATCCTTCCTCAAACTACAAAATGTCACAAGTTTTGTGGCTGGCGGGACTAACAGTTTAACACCACACAGTTAGCAACTTCACAATAATTTAGGTCAAAACCAAGATGCTTTCAATGACCAGTGAAGAGTGCAAGAACAATACTCACAGGAATATTATCTGAGCTGAAATCCAGCTCATTTTCCAGGACAAATGTTTCACTCTCGCAAAAGTACCTTCAGATTAAAAAAAAACATGCTAGGAATGCTTAGGGACACAGTTTTAATTCTTACCTGGAAGTCAGGCTTTTCGGCTATTTATACTTCCTGTAAGAACATATAAGAAAGTCAGATTTTCTGGTGATAGAAGGAGATGATTTGTTGCCATTAGGGGAGGTGTAAGAATAGTGTTGGCTACAAGGAGGGGATTTTTTGCTTTCCATCCATTTGCCCTATTCTTTCTCCATATGAACACCTGAACATATGTGCTTTCCAAGTGTGTGATCATTTGGGCATTGAGCTGGACTATAGGAAGAGCTACAACTGTGGGACCAGCTTTTTTCAGAGCACTTCTTACCAAGCTGCTTGTGTAATGGTTGGGATATTCTTTTCCATGAGATTGCTCAAGATGTGTTTGAAACCGTGTTTTACAGCTGGTAACGTAGTGCAAATTTTTGCATGTACCCACAGTAATTATTTTATAAACAGCATTTAATCCAGGCTTAGGTTAAACAGATCAGTTTGAGAATCTATCTATGACCAGTTTAAATTTCATATCCACTTAAGGCTCTGCATCAAGTCGAAAATGGAAAACTTGTGTTAGATTTGATTTGGTGTCTCGATAGAAACTGGTTTTATTACCAGATAAGCACAAACAGATGTAAGCTAACAGGAATTGGATATACAGACCCATTCCCCAAAAAGAAATCTGTAAAATCAGATAGTAACTGCTATGCAGAACCCTGATGCCACCAGATGGAATAGAGGGGTGTGTCCTCACATGCTGAGGTACCATTGCCTCTTTCTCCTGTTGCTATGGTTATATAGAATATCCGTGCATAGCCACACACCCTTGTATACCATGTGTGTACCTCCTCTCACCCAGCGGCGGATGGTGGGGCACCCGAGCCAGAGGGAAGATGCTGCAAAGTTACATTTGAAGGAAAAAAAGTTGTTTTGATACACTGGAGATAAATTACTGATGTGCTTTCTCTCTGAGTGGCCACCCCAGGGGTTTCCTGGAGTGCATTTACCTTGCTGGCAGCCAGGAACAGCTGTTTCCAGACATCTCACTAATTAAGTAATTAGGCAACCAAGTCAGACTGTTTGCTCCTGCCGATGTAAATGTGTATGAATCCAACTGCACCCCTAAGATGGGCATGATTTCTATGGTGTCATCCTAACTTTGTCCAAATGTACAGCTTATTATTTAGCATTGAAGATGGCTGGAATTTGCACTGTGCAGCACAAAATCATGATGAGGGGAAGCGGAAAAGAGGATGATCCTGGGGCTTGCAACCATGGATCAACTGGAAATCTCACTCTGTTCCTGTTTGGTAGGGTGGGAACATCATCTGGGGCCAATAAACTGCCCTTCGAAATTAAATCAGCTGTTCTGCAGGGAAGAGTATTGCACATAACAGAGGCATGTGGTGGAGCGCTCTTTGTCAAGCACCAAGCCAAATTAAAAGGCTGGAGTAAAGAAATACTTGAAGACAGCTATCAGAGCAGATTTCAGAGCAGATTCTCATACGGCTCACGGGTATCATTAAATACTTTACCTCCCTTTTACACCTTAGAGGCTTAAAGCGCAGTTCAGGGCGTTGAGCAAGAAGCCGAGGAACGGCCCAGGTTTCTGCATCACACCTCAGAACTTCTTTTCCTTTATTCGCACGCGGCACAAATGATTACTAAGAGCCAACAGTTAATGAGGGTTGATTCTTAGGCACGGGAAGAAGGCGCAGGTGGCCCCGGCGGGCCCGTCCGGCTCGGGGGCGGGGCCGGGGCTCCCCGCGTGGGGCCGCTCCGCTCGGGATGAGGCCGCTCCGTGTGGGGCCGCTCCGGTGGGACTGGGGCCGCTCCGCTCGGGGTGGGGCCGCTCCGCTCGGGGCCGCCCCGCTCGGCTCGGAGCGCGGCCGCGGCCGGGCGGCGGCGCTGGCGAGGCCCGGGGGGGCCGCGCGTCACGGCGGGGGGCGGGCGGGGAGCCCCCGCTGCGGGGGCGTCGGGGCCGCGCCTGGGCAGCGGGCGGAGCCGCCGCCGCCTCCTGCCGGAGCCGCTCCGCGCTCCGAGGCTGCGCTCGGCCGCGCTGGGCTCGGCGCGGCTCCGCAGCAGCTGCCGGCGGCCGGGGAAGGAGCGAGCGGGCGCCGCCGCCCGCGCCGCGCCGATGGGTCTCCTCCTGCTCCTCTGGGCGTGTGCGGCCGCCGCCGGGGCAGGTGAGAGGCCGTGGGAGGGGTGGGCGCGCCTCCCCGGGGAGCGAGGGCCGGGGCCGCCGCCCGGGGCGCGCCGGCGGCGGGCGGAAACTTTGCGGGCGGGCGGCGGCAGCGGGAGCCGCCCCGCAGCCGCGGCGGGGCCGGGCATCCCCCGGCGGGGCTCACCGGGCTCGCTCCCGGCGGGGCGGCCGCTCCGCGGGGGCCGGGGGCAGCCGTGGGAAAGTTTTGCGGGAGCGGCGTGCGGGATGCGCCCCGCGGGCACCGGGAGCGCCGCGGCGGCGGGCGGTGCGCGGTGCTGTCCGCGGTGCTGCCCCCGGTGCTGCCCGCAGTTCTGCCCGCGCTCTGTCCGCGTTCTGCCCGCGGTTCTGTTCCCGGTGCTGCCCGCGGTTCTGTTCCCGGTGCTGCCCGCGGTTCTGTTCCCGGTGCTGCCCGCGGTTCTGTCCGCGGTTCTGTCCGCGTTCTGCCCGCGTTCTGCCCACGCTCTGTCCGCGTTCTGCCCGCGGTGCTGCCCCCGGT